AGTGCACACTAAGCAAAAAATTATCTCATCTCTCTCAACTGAATCATGTGCTACTCGCACACTATCAATATTTTACACTGTCTACAAAAAGCATTTGACAACATTCTCATGTATGAGCTAAAGTCATTCCAAATTTATCTATCTGCAAAGTTCTATCTACCAAAGTTCGCATTGTAAGTAATCCCCCTTCCAATGGGCATGCAACAATGTGCACAAGGGGCACAAGGGGTGGTGGTAGCTAATGGGAAACATCTTTCAGCATGTGCTGGGCTCTTGTTTGTGTGGTTTTTCATGGGCGGTTTCAGTATCCGGGGCTTTTCTGGGCTGTGTTGGGCGTGGGGGTGTGCCTGGCCTGTCATAATTTTTGCGTGTTGATTTGATGCGTAATTAAAAATTTAAATTATGTGCCCCGAAGGATGTTTTGTGTGGCAAGCAAGCAGCAGCAGCAGCAGTAAGGACTTGCCGCCGCCGAACGGCCACACAAATATTTGTCGAGTGGAAATGGAAGGGAAAACACATTGCTACGCACCAAACAAAAAGAAAATTGAAAAGGCATAACTTTTGGCCACTTTACCCGAAAATTACTTCGACTCAATTAATTAGAATGAGCGACGAGACTCTCAAGCTCTCTCTCTCTCTCTCTCCCTCTCTTTCTCTCATTTTCCCCTGCTTTTTCTCTGTCTCTTTTTGCGCTGCTTTCTTTCTCTGTCTGCCCCCCTGTCCTGTCTCTTGCCATTGCTTTCTGTCTCTGTTTTTTCTGCCGTTTTTTTGTCCCTTTCTGGCCTGCTGTTTGCTGTAACTCTTTCTTGACAAATCTCACAAATCAGAATCAAGGCCCAGGACTCTGTGTAGGTCCTGCTGCTGCTCCTGGGTTGCCGCTCTTCCTGCTGTTTCTGCTGCTGCTGTTTTGCCTCTTGTTTCGACATTTTCCGTCACCTCTCAGACAAAGCCAAACACAAATTGGCAAACAAACACACGACAGAAACGGACGAGTAATGAAAGGATTGTTTGAAGGAGGGAAGCAAAGAAATGCCCCAGGAATATCTGGCATATAGCAGGCGAGGCAGTAGCAGCTCCCGTTTCGGTCCAAAAGGCTCTGCTGCTGCTGCTGCTTGCTGCCTTCTGCCTCGTGTGTGGCTCTATTTGTTTTTCTCTTCTCCTTTCTCTCTTTCTTTTGCTGTGTGTGTGTGTGTGTGTGTTTTTCCTGCTGTTATCCCCGTGTTCTGTGTATTTGCCGGGGCCCCTAAAAAACACAGCCTAAACAAAGGTTCTCCGGCCTACTGGAATCTGGATCCTGCTGTCGTTGATCGTTTCTCCCCTGCCACTGCCACTGCCACGGCCACTGCCTTGGCCGCCATTCAATTGACCAATGCAACAAATCGTTGCAACAAGGCTCAGCCGGGGATAAGCCATGTTCTATGGCAAAACAGAAGAAAGCGAGAGAGAGAGCAACCAACCAACCCCCCCACCTCCTCCAGCATGTCCCTTGTTTTTTTCTGCTCACTTTTTTTTTTGTGTCCCTCTTCACACGCCTCGCCAGAGAGAAAAGAAAAGGATACTCTGCTCTCACTCTCAGTCTCTCTCTCTCTCTCTCTCTCACTCTTTCTCTCTCGTTCCCTCTCTCTCTTTTGGCGATGATTGCTGATGCGCATTTGATTGCTTCGACTCTGAGGGACCTGTGATCCTCCTACTCCTCCTCCTCCTCCTCCTCCTGCAATCCTCAGATCTTTTAATATTTTTTTGCAACCTGTGATCCTCTCTCTGATCCTTTGCGATCCTTCTGTTTGTGTTCAAGCTCTTGGAAAATCGTTTTTTACGCCGCATTTTCCCTTGCATTTCCTGCCAACTAATTGCGAGAGAAATCTGCTAAGACTCTGGCCAAGCCCTGGACAGGACGACGACAAAGGACACGAAAGTGGAACTTGGAACTGGAATTAGATTGATTTGTGCGGTCTGCCCCTGCCTCCGCCCCCGGCCGGGCAGCCGCGTATCGCGCATCAGAAAAGGGTGTGAAGTGGAGGGCCACTTGAAAAATCTCGTTATCCTGTCAGCGGCAGGACCTATGCCACTTGGCTGGCACTGGCACTGGCACTGGTACTGGCACTGGCACTGGGAAAACTGCCAGTCATTGAGAAAATGGAGCAAGCGGGTGGGTGCGCGCGGGGGCAGCAGCTGCCACTCGCCGCGTATCGCTTACAGATGGAATCCCGAGCAGCAGATGAATGGAAAAGAGCAGCAGCAGCAGCAACAGCAGCAGGTCCTAAAGCAGCCACCAAAAAGCGACAAGGAGCAGCAGCAGCAGCAGCAGCGATCAACGGCAGCAGGCAGGCCATACATACAGTTACAGCCCTTTTGTTGGGCTTAGGACTCGCGCCGTACCCTGAACCTCCTGCCAGCCTCCTTCGCATTCTCCCAACCCATTTTTGGGCTGAGCTAAAGCACCCACTCAAACGCCTCGACGGGACTCAATTGTTTGCGAGATCAATTTGCAACTTAATTGAAATCCATTTAAAGTAATGAGAGTTACTAACTTGTCCTGCCTCCTGCATCCCTGCCTCTTGCCGCGGCACCGCGACCCATCCCAGCCCATTGTTCTGCCGCATCCGTGCACCCTTTTGCCGCCGCAAAAGGGGCTTTGCTTTGCTTTGCTCTGATCCCGTGCTTAAGAATTATAATCCCACGCAGATATCCCGCAGAGAGAGCGGGCGGTGTGCTGATGTATGTATGTACCTGTGTGTGCTGCACTTCTACTGATTGTCGTCCTGTCTTCACGATCCATTTGCATGGCCAGCAAAATGCAAATTGTCCCTAATGTCGCTCAAGTGAGGACCAATCCTTCTGCGCCCCGTGGTGCGAGGCGGCTCTTCTGGGCTTGTGGGATTCAGTAGTGCGCCCAAAAAGTAGGTTATGCATATGTCTAGTTCTGGTATATTTATAGTATTTTTGTGGTATTTTTTTCTAGTTTTTTAGACTATTTTATCTTATTTTTCCTTAAATCTTTTTGGACTTTTTTAAAGTATGTGTCTAGCATTATCTTTGTATGCGTCTAAATCTAGTTTTAGTATTTTCTGGTATTATTTCCAGTACTTTTTGGTATTTTCCAGTATTTTCTGGTATTTTCCTGGTATTTTCGGTATTATCTCGTAGTATCCTTCAAATTATATCTAGTTGATCTATTTAGCTATCAAGTTCCATCCATACTTGCTCCAAACTATCACAGAAATCTTCCCAAAAATCATCTTGGTAATGACAGAATCAGGATGGTGGGGCCTACTGTTGGCATGAAATAAAAGACAGCCAGGAGCTGCCCCAAAATAAAGTAGTTATATATTAAGAAGTGAAAAACCTGTTTTTTTGGGGCCAACATACGCAAAACAAAACAACAAAAAAAATATGCAAAATAAATCCCAGGCTGTTGCGCTGTGTGTGTGTCCAAGTCCATTAAAAGGGAATAAGTGCGTGCAAATCCTGGCCGTAGGATATTTTTTCATATTATCAGAGAGCGCATATTACTTTATCGAGAATGAAAATGCCCCTGAAGGACCCATACCCCCCACCCACCCCTCGAACGCAAAGAAAACACATATGAAGTGCTCTACCACTCTGATGGGAGGTAGGGAGGATTGAGGATTGATGATGATATCCATAACCACGCGCCTTTTTTTTGCGTCTCACTTAAACCGCAACACAAACACACCCACACCCACCCACTCGTCGGAGCAGCGAGCAGAGAGCTACAATATGCAGATGGAGATGGAGATACAAAGGATACAGCCAGAGAGAGAGAGATACAGGGAGCGTGTCCTGCTGCCGCTGAACCACATTCAAGTTGATCCCCTTGTAAATCTCTAAATTGTTTTATGAACATATTGGCCATAGAAGGTGTAAACCCAATTTCCATGCAGGTAAATGATGGACATCGATCCGCTGCTGCTCTCGCTCTGTTCCTTGTTCATTTGTTGTTCCGGCACAGCAGGATGGGATGCACTCAATGCACTGCTTCCGCCTTTTGTTGAGCCTCATTTAAACCGTACCGCTGGCCAATTTGCATTCGCACCACAAACCAAATTGATCCGCCCTAATCCATAGTCCAGTTTTCCAGTTCCCATTTCGCTTTGGGAAGGTCCTGCGGCTACAGCTATACTCCTTCTGCTCCTTTGAGACCGATCGACCGAAATTTATAAGCACGGGATTTGAATTTGCAAGAAAAACAAAACATTTTGATGCACGTTGGACTTTGGCTCTGGCTCTAGCTGTAGCTCTGGTTCTGGCATTGGGATTGGCTTTGGCTTTGGATTTGGAGTTTGCCCTTTTGCCAAAGAGTGCCAAAGAGTGCCAAGGAGTGCTCGGAAAGCAGCAAAAGTAAATTGAAGTCATTGAGGCATAGCGATGGTCGCTGAAAAGGGGTTGTCGCGAGCATTTGGATTGATTGGCTCATTTCAATGAAAATATAACAATAATTATTATTATTATTTGATGTAAAATTATTTTATTTTTAAGCTATTTTGGATGCTTTGTGGTTGCTCATGTTTTCATTAGCAGTTTTATGGCTTCTAAATGAGTTTTTTCCGCTTCTTGATACCCCCAATTTAAACCCAAAAGTTTTACCATAATCATTCTGCTACTGCTAATAAAAATAAAAATGTAATTAAATTTTTAAAATTATTTTGTAGTAATGATTTTAATTTATTTTTATTATTATTTATTTTTCATATTATTATTTTTTTTTATTAATTTTTTTATTGTAAATTATTTTTTGATATTTTTAAATTTTAAATTTTGTTTCTGGTTTTTAAAACATTCTTGTAAATTCTACACGTTTTCTACATACGACTCTACACCAACACAAATTAAATGCGCCATCTTGCCGCCATTTAGCAGCTCTGAGGCCGTCAAAGTGGCGCCCTCTACTGTTCACTTGGTCTGCATAGTTTCCACAGCGCCATCTGTGTGTTTGCTCTGTCGCCCTCTCTGGCAACGCCTTACACGTCAGCTGTTTCACTGCGCTCTGGCAGCGCTGTTTATTATTGTTTTGCTTTGTTTTTGATTGTCGGAAAAATAGAAATAAAATTTGTGCAACGAATGCTTTGGCAGGATTAACGAAGCAGCGTCCATGCAGGAGATGGTCAGGAAGAGAAGCCGATCACGCAGCAGCCAGCGCAGCCGACGCGGACGCAAGCAAAAACAGAAACAGGCCGCAGCCAGACAAGCGGCGGCATCAATCATGGGAGGAGGCATCGAACAGGGCACGGCAGCAGCGGCCGAGATGTGGAGCAACACGTACAGGCGACTCTTCCAGTGGCACCACATGCAGGTGCAGCGTCTGTGCCAGCAACATGAGCAACATGCGCAGCCGGCGGATTGCGAGGAGAGCTCCGCCTCCGAAGCCGAGGAGGAGCAGGCCACGGCGACGGCGACACCCATTGACGAGGAGTATTTGAAATTTCTGGAGGTGACACTCAGGCATCAGCAGGAGCTGAAACAACGACGAGCTGCCGCCGCAGCGACTGCCATACCGGACTCGACCTTAGATTAAGTTTAGGCTAAGAATTTTTGTAACCATTTTTTACACGCCCAGTAAAGGCTGCCCCCGAAAACCGCATACAGCAAGCTGCCCCGGGAGTGTGTCAGTCGCAGGCACAACTGTACTTTCTTCCAGGAACTCCACTCGCCAGCTCCCCCTCTCTCGCTCTCTGACTCTCTCACTCACACGCTAATGAAGATGTTCTCGTTTGGGCCGAAAGGGAGACGCACATTAACGTGGCCAAGACAAATGTGTGGCCATTTATGATCCGCTGCAAGAAATGCCACAAAATTGGGGCATGACTAACAAAGCCGAGTGCCACAAAGGCAACATTAGTGGGTCAGCGGAGTGTGTGGGCGTGGTCTTGGCATTTTTTTTTCGGGCGAAAACCTAATTAAGACATCGCTGACGTCCGCAGACGCTGAGAGGACAGTGCAAATGGGTTTTGGCTGTGTAATCCTCTCCAGCAGCAGCAGCAGTCGCAGTCGTTGGATTGCGGATTGCGCCTCCTACTCTTTGGTCACGGCCATTGGATCACGACGGACGACAAGCGACGACAACTGCGAGCAAGCGAACGACCTTTCTAATGCCTTGCCACTGCATAAATCATGGCCCAAATGGCGGCCGGCCACCTGCAGCCGTAGCGAAGCCAAAGTCAGAGCTAGAGCCAAAGCAAAGCGCGGCGGCGGCAGCTAATAAGCTGCAGAGATGCAGTCAGCAACGGGAACTGGAACGGGAATGGGAACAGTGGCATGGGGCAGTGGCTGGGGCAGGCGCAGGCGCAGGGGTTGGGGCACATTCACATTCAGCGATAAAAAAAAAACTTTAGTCAAATCGGAATTGAGATTTTCACTAGAAAGAAAAGAAAGTATTGCTCCACCCACAAAAAGCAGAACAAAAAGGCAGAGGAGAGCGACAACAGAAGCCGCAGTAAAGCAGCACAAAATGGCTGCCCTGTGGCATGCCACGCCGACGTCAACGAGCAGAGTGTGTGAAGCAGAAGCCTCTAATTAAATGGGTGTATCTGTTGAATGTGTGGCTAATAACCAGCAGACAGCCAGCCAGCCAGCGAGATGAGCAGCAGAAGCGCAAAAACAAAGCAAAAACCCAAGAGAACCGAGCGAAAGAGAGAGTGAGAGAGTGAGAGAATGCTTAGTGCCTTTTAGAGGTGCGTTTCACGCTGCTGTGAGTGCGCGAATGCTGCAAAAAACCCTCGAATGGCTCGACATCAAGCTATGCGACTAAAATCATTGACTCCTAGAACTACGCTGCCAAAGGGATACATTTTGATGTGAATACAATGCGGCTGCCTTACCTTTTTTTGCACATAGCTTGTGACGAACCAAAAGGGCCCCGCCTGCACACCTGTTGCATGCTTCAACGTGTCTCTCCATCTCTCTCTGGCTGTCTGGCTGTCTGTCTCGGTGTGCACTGCCGCCATGTTTTATTGCCGAGAGATTTGCATGAGATTGTGGCGTGGAATATCGAGACAAAACGAACCGAACGTTTGGAGCGTAATGTGAGCTATGCGCAACACCCCCAACAACATCTTGGGATATGAATATTTTATGAGGCATGTGTGGCAGCCGGTTTGGAGCTTTGGAGGCCACACTGTAAAGCCACTGAAGTGGCAGACAAATTGTTGCCTACAAATCAATTAAATTGCTAATCAACAGCGACAACAAACAAAACGGCAGCAAGAACAACAGCAGCAGCAACAACAGCAGCAACAACAACAGCAGCAACAACAGCAGCAGCAACAGCAGCAACAACAGCAGCAGCAACAGCAGCAACAACAGCACAACAACTGTGGTGGTGGTGGTGGTGGTGGTGGTGGTGGTGGTGGTGCAGCCAACAAATCGTGTATTAGGCCGCACAATTTAATGGAGCCACATTCCAGAGGCAAAAGGCTAGAAGCCATTGTTGGGCCGCCAAAGCGACCGCAAGAAATGCATAAACATATTGCAGATTGGGGGGACCAAGTAAACACACACCGCGCAAAAACACCGTGAAAAAGGGGCCAAACACACACACACACACACAGAAACAAAGCTCTTGGACTGGGACGCTGGACAAGTGCACCACTGCACCACACTGCACCACACTGCAGCACTGCAGCACTGGCATCCCAACAGCAGGGAGGAAAAGGAACCGAAATCGGAATTGGAGTCCAAGACCCAAAACAGAAACAGAAGCAACATGGAAACACCGCAGGCGGCATTTGACAAAAAAACAAAAAATAAATAAATAAATAAACTAAGAGCCACACGGCCACATACTCGAATTCGTAGTCGTAGTCGTATTTGTATTCGTATTCGTACGATATGTGGCAGCATAAATATATGAGTGCATAGATGCGAGTATATCGCATTGTGGGAGGAGAGGGAGAGGGCAGGCAGCTGCTGTCACAGAATCCACAGAGAATGGCGGCTAACAAGGAACGCTAATAGGTAGCAAGGTGTAAATGGAGAGAGAGAGAGAGAGTGTGGGAGATGATGGAGAAGTTTGAAAAGATCTCATGGAAAACAGAAGTGGAATTGGGGGGTTGATATTTGGTGTGTTGTTCGGCGGAACAGTTGGGGCATACTTTGAAGGCTTTTGATCATATATCATCTTTTAATCTATCATCAAGGATACGGTGTTTAAGGCAGTTGCGACTTCCCAATGGGAGAGACTGCAATATCAGTGCCCTTGGGTTGCCTTTTCTTTACCGGATCAGCAGCGCAATTTGTAGATTAATTCTAAACACACGAGAAGGAGGTCTTGCAAGATTAACCGTGCAGTGTGAGAGAGAGAAATATGTACATATATAAATAAATATTTATTAAACATGAATTACTAAAGATACTAATTTTGGCGATTTTTAAACTAATTTTTGGAGAATTCGGAATTTTTTCTGTGCCAACCCTGATCTTAGTATCTCATTGAATTTTTTGCTGAATTTCTTTTCATTCTGGAAAACTTCTGAAAATACTAGAAATCTTTCTGTCATTCGAGCTTCCTTCTTTAGGTTTTGCCACACCACACCACCCACTGTTTACGAGGCTGCGGCTGCTGCTGCTGCTGTTGCAGTTGTCACCACCATTAACAACAACAGCAGCAGCAGCAGCAGCAGCAGGAGCAACTTGCTCTCCAATTGGCGGTGCCTTGAGGTGCTGGCTGAGTCGCTGTCGAAATTCATTCAATTCAAAGCGAAATAAGCCCGATCCAAAGCCACAGCCAAAGCGAGTCCCAGGCGCTCAGCCGCTTAGCCTGAGACTTGAATTCAGATTCAGATGCAGGCGCAGGCGCGGACTTGTGGACTTGGGGAGTCGGTTCCAGTTTCAGGTAACCAGCACCACCACGCATGAGGCTTTTTCATGTCGTTCTCCATTTGTCGCCTGGCACTTTTCTAACTGAACGCGAAACGAAAGAGCTTTGCCTTTGGGTGACACAACACGCCTGATGCCCTATAAGCTGTGTGTTATATGTGGCAAATGGAGATATATTTAACAGGACTTTGTGGCATAATTAATGGCAATAGAGAGCTGCATGGAAATGGCTGTGAAGCGAAGAATTTAAATATTTTCTGTGGCTCTGGAGATGTTTGCTGCCAACAGCTCTTCCAAATCAGAATACCCACAGCTCAAAGGGTACCAAAAGAAAAAAAACGGCGCTTGCTCTATGAAGGAATCAGAGAGCGGGAGAGCGGGAGAACAGGGAGTGAGTTAGGCAAGGAGTGGAGTGGAGGGGAGGGGAGTGCAGTGGTGGGGAGTGAAGTGGAGTGGTGGGAAGGGGAGTTGCACAGAGGATGAGAAGCGTGAGAGTCGACAACAAACTGCGCCTGCGCACGCGTTCAATTAGCTGCAAATTGCAAATCGTGCGGCGCATGCGCAACGTCCAACGTTCCCCAATGCGCGATGTCGCCACAAACGGCGGCAACATGTTGCTGGCTGCAAAACACAGAGAGAGGAGAGCCACACAGTGCCACAGTGCCACAGCAAGCAGCAACAGTTGCTAATGTGTTGTCAACAAAACTCATGTTGACAGCAGAATCGAAAATATTTCATTTCAAATTTGCTGCTGCTGCTGCTTGTCGCAGCTTGCAGGTGTGTTTGTGTGTGTGTGTGTGTGTGGGAAAGAGAAAGGCAATGATGTTGTCGTCGGCAAGGAGGTGTCGATGTCCACTCTTAATTGGGTGATTGGGGGGGTGGCTGGGCAGTGGGCAGGCCTTGAAAGAGAGACACATCCTGTCTAAGCGGCAACCGCTGCCATAACTCACCCGCAGAGCAGTAGGTAGGGGCAGGCAGCAGCGGGGGCGGGGCAGCGGTAACCACAATTTGCATGGGGGGGACTGGGAATCGCAGGATGGGAATCGAATTTCGAGCAACAGATTCGAATGTTTCTTTGTTGAATGTTGAGTGAATGATAACTGACAGTTGGAGCAGGTAACGAGAGGAAGAGCAGAAGCAGGAGGAGGACAGTGGAGGGAGGGAGGGAGGGAGAAGCAACAACATGTTGCAGTTGTATCTCTTGTGGCTGCTGATGCCCCAGAAACGGGGTATGTTCAGCATTGCCACAACACTGGAAGGTAGCAATCAGAACACTCTTTTAGCCATAGAGCCCAGAGATAATCTCTGAATCGAATATTGCAGCTGGAATAATGAAGACTTTTCAATGACTAAAAATCACTAAAAAATTGGAACTGATTTTTGCCATTATTTGTAGGGGGAATTATAGTTGCAATTTTAAATATTTATGTACATATGGCTAGGCAATATTATAGGTAGTGTAGGTATATACATAGGTACATATGTATGTAAATATATGTATGGATAGGTATTATTAGTTTTAGATTTATGCATCAATAAGAAATATATATATACATATGTATGTACATATGAGTCAAAGCTAAAAGCGACTTCTGTTTATGTTTGCTACCTGCGCATGGGACGCTTTTCGTTCGCACTTTTGTGCATTGAGAACTACAGAGAATGAAATGCAGACCGATTGAACTAACGGTAAAACGGATAAGAATTTGCGACGCATTTGCAAAGCTGTCGTGCAATGCGTTGATGAGCAGAGAAACGAAATCGTCT